AGGAGTTAGACATTCAATGAACTGTGTTATCGTTAATAGATGAGATTGTTTTCTCTTTCTATTAATATTATTGCTTTATTTTACTTCTCATTGATTGGAGAGAGAGAGAAGCTATTTACCGTTATTTTCTCCTTTCACCTTACAATTTTACTGTTGTTTCCTTTTCCTTTTCTTATCATCCTTTTACTTCATCAGTATCAACACCAGAATCTTCATGTTGCTTTTGTTGTTCAACACAAAGAAATCAACCTTTCCCTTCATCATCTCACCATCATCATCATCATCTATTTTTGGTCACCTTCATCATTTACCTTTTATTCAGTCAAGTCCAGTTGATGGTTGTTACTGTAAATTGATTTTATCATAGTCCATCCTTATTGTGTCATCCTGTTTACCTTGAATCAATTGTTATTGTTGTAATAAGATTGAGCAACATGATAACAAGATTGAGACCATGGTGATAATAAGGAAACATTTTAAAACTGAGAATTCATTGATTGTATTTCAAAGTTCACAAGTTAATCTTATCTTAACCTTTATCATGAAATGAAATGAACTCAATTAAATCCTATTATTTCAATGATCTAATGATTCAGATCAATTGAGCAAAAAATACTAATTATAACTGTAGTAACTCAATATGATGAAATATGATGATGATTATTGATCTGAGCAAAAGCTAAAGTTGAACTTTTTTTTCTCAATCAATGAAAATTTCATCAAGATCTCATGTTGATGATGTTATTTGATGATCATTGAATCAATAACATTTAATTGAATTAGTATATGACTTAGATATCATTCTTGTGTTTGGTTAAACAATCAAGAAACTATCAAACTGAAAAATAGTAAATTACTATCATGAAATAATTCTGATAAATCACCAAGAGATAATCGCCATTTAATTGAATGTAAATAAAAACTTTAATACAGTAATGATTACAATTTCATTCTGAATCAGAATTTGATTACTGATAGTTGAAGAGTTTCAACTCATGATGATGATGATAATGATGATGATGAACAATTTAATTTCGAATTTCAATTTCAATCTGAATTGAAATTCGAAAGGTGAAATTGATCAAGTGTAAACAAATTGAGCAAATTTGATATTTGCTAATTTTGACAACTTAATTTGATTGGTTAATTCATTTGCCAAAATTTTCTGAGTGATAAACATTTTTTTTCATTACTTTCTCATGTTAATTGTTTCCATCAAAATTAATTGCCCGAGGAGTTGATCAATTTGGATTAACTTTTATCACTTGATGTCAATAAAATATAAACAGTAAAGTTGTGTGTGATTTATGTCACAACTATTAACTGATTATATTATTATTCACTTTAACCTAATGTTAATTAACTAAATTAATCAATAAAAATCGTAGTGTTGAAAAAATAACAATAGATTAAGATTAATATTCATGAGACTATTTTCCTTACACTGTTATCGGTGTTATTAGCAAAAGATTAATTGAATATAAAGAAACATTATTGGCAATTGATTTTCTTATTACCATTTTCAGGGGATTTTCATGATGTTGACAAATTATTTATCATCAATTTGGAGATTCTATCTTCATCACCATCGTCGTTATGAAATTTCAAATTTATTCTTGGGTAAAACAAACTTGATTATTATTATTTTGTTCATACAAGTTTGTCAGAACTTTTATCTACTCGACAATTATCAGAATTTTATTTCCTCTTTTCAATTTATTTTCTCTTGATGGTTAATTTTTCTGGTGAATGTCTTTATTATTATTCTTGTGGAAATTTTCACCTTATTGTTTACCATCATTTCTATTATCATCACTTCATCTTTATCCTCTTCTTCCCTAACGATTCCAGTATTTTTCGCCATCATTTTCTATCACCCATTTTTCAGAATCTTCTTAGCTCATTGTGTCATCCATGTTGAGGTTAATTCACAGTGTGAATCTAATTCTATGGAACCTATTATATTATATTATTAACTTAGAATACTAACAAGCATCGATAGACTTTTATACTTTTCCCGTCAATTCATTTACTCTCATTTTCATCTAATTCACCGAGAGTATGTTGACTTAAAAGAGTCGAATGAATCAATCAGATAAATCTAATGAAATCTTACCTGAATTCTGATTTGAATAAACAGGAATTGAAATAATACAAAGGAAACCCTTTTAATGAATTTGTCTTTCACCAAACTTTTCAAATGAAGAAGAAGAAAAATTAATCATGTTATCCATGATAGTGACACGAGAAAATTAATCTCACAATATTGAGCTTTAATCTGAATGTAAACAAAACGTATTATTATCAAGACAACTTGAGACAAATATTGAATCTTAACTTGATAATAATCATATGGTTTCTCATTTTTTTCCACCTTTCTACTTATTATATTAATATAATTTTCTCCATGTAAATTGTCCCAGAGTTTTATATACAAAAAAACAGTTTGAATCTTCGATTCACTCCCCTGAAGAATGTGAATTTCATTGAAATTTACCAAGTTTCCATTTGACAGGAAAAAGATGATTATAAGAAAGAAAAAATAATCAATTGCTTGGAGCATTTTCCCTTAACATTTAGCTTGTAACATTGTCAGCATTTAAAAAAAACGAGTACAAAGATTTTCAAAGGTAATAAATCAATGAATTGAAGAGAGAAAGCAAAAAAAAAATGTCAACATTTACTGATACAATTCAACTTCCGTATTTCTATGATTCTGTGAGCTTTGAACTTCACCATGATGATAATGATGATGATTGAACAGATTTTTCCTTTCGTAACATTGATCAACAAATCAATTGAAAATTATCCAGTTCTATGAGTTTTTCATGAAAAGTAAACACCATGGTTCAATTAATAATAATATAGTGAATTTTACCGGAAGCTAATTCATTTAATTTCATGGTCATAACCTTTGACCGGTAAAAAGGCAATTATTTATTTAATTAGAGAGAAAGAGGAAATAATATCAGAAACAATTAATCAGCATTACAAAAGGTTAATTGTTACAAATAATATACTAAATTTATATGTATCTTGAACTTGACGTTTCTACAATTAAAATATTATCATAATTAACCATGCTAATCGTACAAATTTTAATCACTTTGAGTATAAATATGATAACAATTAAGCAGCAATTAACTGCTAATTGTGAGTTTTTTAAAATAATAATAGATGAAAAAAATCCATTGAAATATCAACTTAGATAATTAATTGCCAATCATAACACTGTTGCCGTTGTATTAATAATCCAATTAATTGATTGTGATTGAAACTGTTATTCAACTCAGCACTTGAGTAATTAACTAGTTAACTGTTATACTAATAAACTAATATTATTATTACTATTAGTTTACTTCCGATAATTATTATTATCATCGTTAATTAATATTAGTTTTCATTCATGAATCTTTTTATATATAATTTACTTGTGATAATAGTGATAGTAATTGTGAAAAAAGGATAACAATTAACTTAAATTGTTCACCCTTTCTGCCTTAATGTTTACGTTGATTGTGTTAAAAATAATCATTGTAAAGTTAATCTTTTGGTCAAAATTAATTGAATACAATTATCATGATGATTGTTGCATTTATAATTCATGATTATCAATTTAAATAATAATAATCCATTAGTAGGCTCAGTGTTATGAACTTTTTTCTGGGTTCATTATTATTATTGTTTCATCGTTTCATTAGTTTGTTAATCTATTTTTAATTTCAACACTAAATGCTCATTTGCTATTGTAAGGTAATTAGATATCTGGAAAATAGATTTAGGTATGCAAAGGGTATGCAAATATGGAGAGAGAAACTTGATGTTCAATTAGATGCAATTACAAAGATTAACAAGTAATCCAATTAAGTTTTAATCGGTTAAGGATCAACACTAAAATTTACAATCTATTCATAATCATCAACATGGTAATTCAGTTGTAATGAAATTGGATCTTACTCTTTTTGTTGGTACAACACAATGAGATTATCATAATTAGTATTAATAATAGATTAAGTTTTAGATTTCAATTTTTTTTCCTCTGTTCTTGCTAATATTGAAAAGTTTATTATTATTATAAAAAACTTTCGAACAGAAAAGGAAAATGTTCCAAGTGAGTGTTCTGTTTTGTATCTCAACATGAGTTGGAAGGGAAGGAAAATCGAACCAGAAATAAAAAGAAACTACTCTCGGGGTTTTCTGTTGGAAGAAAGTTTGTTTCTTTTTTCTTTCATGAAGATTGAAGCACCTTCGATGTGTCAAAAAGTAGAAGTGAGAAAAAAGAAGTAACAAAAATCACATGTTCGATATTAGTGACTAAAGAAAATGTCAAACAGAACATTAAGTTTAAAGGGTATTCTGTGTACATATGTAGGTATTCATCTTGAGAAAATGAGAGAATTCTGGATTCTTTTTTTTCTCCAATCATCGATTAGCTATTTCTAGACTACCTGATAGAGAGAGAGAGAGAGAGAGAGAGAGAGAGAGAGAGAGAGAGAGAGAGAGTATATTCACTAACCAAGTGTGATGAATGTTCGTTCATTATCAACATCATTATCATGAAAGAATTTTCTTCTTTTAGAACTTTTTTTCTCTCTTTCTCATTCTCTTTCTCTTCCCTCAGTAGTACTTAGAATTCATGTTATTACATATTATCATATTAAACGTTTTCGTTTGTTTGTTCTTGCCCAGAATTTTTCCTCTCTTAATTTCAATTTCATCTTTCACAGCCTCATTGCTGCTCATTTATTATTATTATCGAGCTGAACTTTTTTTCCCATTTTCACCATAAGGAATGTTTTTTTCGCTTCATTTTTAATAGACTTCCATTTGACTATGAGCTAATATTGGATAATAATAATAATAATAGTATCAGAGAGTTGATTGGGTTATCAGAATTTCTTATCAACTATTTTTTTTCATTCCATGATAAATCTACATGTATGAATATTAATATTTGTTTTTGTTGATTGAATTTCTCTCTCTCTTTTCATCATTAACAGGAACTAATCCATGTGGAATTGGTAATGGAGGTTGTACTCATTTGTGCCTATTTCGACCTCAGGGTTATATTTGTGCCTGTCCCACTGTTCAAGATTCGAGACCTTGCTCTCAAGGTATGTAAAAATATCCTTTTCATCAACTCGTACAGCTTTTTTTCTCTCTATTAAAAAAAGTTGCTCCTTTTTTACCATTATACACATGTAATACTTTACTTGAGATAAAAAAAACCATAAACCAATTCAAGAGTAAACATGTTCAATGAATATATCTGAATACATAATGTACAGAATTCCATTTTATCTATTTACGTCAAATTATTGCTTTTATGATTATTATTGAACTACAGGGCATTTCACCAAGTTTTTCTCGAATCACTTTTTTGTTCTCGAACGCTCAGACCCCAGATTCGAGTTATGATAGTTTGAGCGATACATAATTGCCATATTAAAATATCAAGGTCATTCCCGCCATTCTGTTAGGACACGGTTTCAAGGTCATTTGATGGTCAAAAAACAAACATGTACCCAAAATATAATATTTTCTCGGTTCTCACTTTCTTTGTTATAAGCAAATTAATGAAAATTAAATGAAATAAAATTAAAAATCCTGATCTAAAACGCTATATCTCTGCAACTAAAGATACCCAAAAAATGTAAATACGTTAGGAGCCTCATGATTGCGAATGTATTTTCTAGTAACCACCAAACAACCTTGAAACCCTGTCCTAACAGAATGACCTTGATATTTTAATATGACAATTATGTATCGCCCAAACTATCATAACTCGAGTCTAGGGTCTGAGCACTTAAAAACAAAAAAGTTATTCAAGAAAAACTTGTTGGAAACTTGCAAAAATGCCCTGTATAATAATTTTCTCTCCCTCTCTCTCCAACATTTGCATTGAATGTGATTATTATTATCATTCTGAGAATGCTATTCTCATGTACTAAACATCTAATAAGGGACAACACATATAAACCATAATCTCTGGGAATGTTGTTTGTCATTGTGATATCAAATTCATGTTAATCATGTTTCATCATGTCACTTGGTGTTAGCATATCACCATGATAAGGTATCATCACAATATCTAATACATACGGTATGTTATGTATATAAAGGTAAAGGTTAATGTGCTTTGAAAGGTAACATGAACATAGTAAAGGAAAAAATGATAATACTATCATGAAAATATCCTCTTCTCGTACATGCATACATTTGATGAGTTCTCTGGATCTGATGTTGTAATGAATGGACTTTTTAAATGATAATTTGCTTTTATTATATTAACCAGAAGTGATAATAAAGGTTAGCTTAATGGACCCTACGATAAAATGTCTTTTTTTGAATTCTAAGAGACGATATTTGAGAACCAAGAGCTGAATTATTTTTCGTAACGGAGGAGGGCAGAGTAAAGTATCATGATGATGATGATGATGAGTATTATCTAAATAATGAGAAGCATTTATATACATATATGTATATCATTTACATGGACATGAAGGTGAAAGAAATTACATGGAGCATTAAAATATCAGGGGAAACTTTTTCTTCGTTGTTGTTATTCAATGTTTTTCTTTTACCTGTCAGTCAATTGGATTTTGTATGTTTATCTATCAATTCTATTAATATTATATTTGTTTTCTTGTTTGCATTTTCCTTTTTGTCATTTTCTACTTCTTCTTCCTTTCCCATTCAGTTCCTGGTGATATTCTTAACCTGGAATCAAGTTCAACAGTTTCAACAAGCAAAAAAGGTAATCCTATCAATGGTAATGGAAACTTGCCTGAGAATCAAGATTATGATGATAATAAGAAACACAATCGAAATGAAATTGGAAGCAAAGAATGCTCTGGAAATGGAACATCATCTTCATCATCTAATTCTGGTTGCCTTTCTCTTGGCATTTCCCTAGACGGTATTTAATTATTTTCTCTCTTTCTCTCTCTCTCTCTCTCTCTCTCCTGAATCATTATCATTTTCATTGTATCTCAAGAGTGAATGTCAACTTAATGATGAAGATAAAATAAAGTGAAAGAGTTGAGAAGAAAAAGAAACAGATAGAAATAAGAAAAACATGATAAGATTTTGATTAAGATCTTAAGTTGAAATGAAAAGACAATCAGTGATTAGATAATTAGACTTGAAGAATGTTTCTCAATAATTTGATATTAATCTTCATTCATTGAGATATCCAAGTAATCTGAACAAATGTTTACTATCCTTTTCTAATAATAATATCATATATATATGATAGTTTTCGTTAACATCTAAAAATTTTCATTCACATGAATGATTAACTATTCATATTCTCATGGTCAATTCTGTCTCAATTTCCATAATAATCATCACGAGATGTTATCAAGTTTTTTTACATTCTTATTGGTTTTGTATTTGTTTTCGGTTGTTTTACTTTTTCAAATTGTTTGATTATTTTGATCATTCATGATGATCATGATAATGGTAGTAAACCAGGAACGTGATTCTTATACTTAACGTTAGATGTTTTTATTTCTCATCTTCTTTTGATCATTTTCCAAACAACACTTTGGGTTTTACTTTTTACACTCAAAGATAATTTTTTTGATATAAAACAGAATCAGAGAGTAAAAAGAAACATAAACTCAAGATAAACTTTGAAATTCTGTTACTTTGTTTCATATTCTTAGTCACATGACTTGAGGATATTCGATTTCCAAAGTAGCTAAGAATTATTTTATTCTATTAAATTATTCTTTGAATTTTCTATTTTAGAGCTTTCTAGTTCTCTGATATTTATAATAATAAGATTAATAGAATTCTGGTTATCTAAATTGAACTTTTAATCTTTTCTCTTTTCTCTCTCTATCTCTCCATTTATTTACCTTTCCATGGACGATGGAATTTCTATCGATCTGGGAAAAGATAGTAAATACTGAAAATTTCATTCTGACAGTTGAAAACATGAAGCTGATTGTTTCTTTTATAAACTAATCATCATCTCTTCAATCAAGCAACTTAAAAAAAAATAACATGAGCTAAAAGCCATGTAATAGCTAGATGACTTCTTACATTGAACTTGACAGTTTCAATGAGAAGGTTATTAATATTATATTGTTTTTAGTGTATTATATCGTACTTGTCAGAATTTGTCCATAAAATATACTAGCATTTAGTTTAGAATGTCAGAACTGACAGAGAATTTGTTATAATATTATACCAACAGTTGAAAAGTACATTTTGATTTGATTTAGGTTGAAAAGTTGATAAAAGATTCAGATCATTTAATCATCATTCTGACTCTTATCCCTAATTGTTATCAACAATTAACAGGATAAAATATATTTTTCCCATTTGGGAAATCAAATTAGCATTTGTAACCTTATTTATTCAAAATATACTCGCCTGGTGATTAATATTACTCAAAAGGATTGAGCCTTATTTTGCATCAATAAGCAGATAATCAAATTAGATTATTCATGGAAAATAGATAATTCAACTTTTTGGATTCAGGATAACAATCAACAATTTTTTCAGCTTTTAATTCAGAATTTGATGATCAAAAACAAGAGTGAGATTATTAAGACTATTTATCCCTAGCAGAGATTTTATTATGTTTCATTATTAGTCAACCTTTTTTCGAGCGATACAATAGACCTTACGATATAGAAAGGGTAACCTTCATGATCTTGAAAAGTATCGACCAAACTAGAATAGATTAAAGACTTGAGATATAATAATAAGGTAGTTTTTAGAAAATTGTGATATTAATAAATTGAATAGATTAAGCGAATTGACCATGATAGAAAATAATTGCAAACAAGAAGCTCTGATATTAGCTTCTGTCTAAGAACCGAATAATATCTTATTATTAATATTATCTAATCTCTGATATTTCAATATCAAGTTTCCAATATATGGCATACCAATTAGATGAAGAGATGTACATGCATATCCATCATCATCGTGAGAAAGTATCATGAACATCAGAATAATAATAATAATAATGTTATGTCAATAGAAAAGAATGACTTTTCTTTTCACAAACTTTTTCTTCAACATTTCTCACATGAATAAAAAAATACTTCGAATGAACTTTCATTGGATTCGAAACCTAACTAGTAACCATAGTGATTGATGATGTTTCCAATCTCATTTTCTCATCTTATTCATGGAAATTTTTTTCTTCTTCTTCTTTACCATTACTGTTATTTTAGATCCTTTTTTACAAATGGCTTACATAGCCACAGCAGCGGCCTTATTATTATTGACCTTACTTTTAGCATCGATTGGGTTAATTATCGTTAAAAGGTAAGACAAACAAAAAGAGAAACCCATTGGATCCAATTGAATTTCAATCTTTTATCTTCTTGTCTTTCTTTTTTCCCCTCAGGAAATATTCATCCAATGTTTCATCTGAAGATGCTCGTTCATCTACTTCAGAGATTATCGATAAAGTATATCCACCTATTTGTAATCAATCCCTCCCACACCCAACACTTTACTCACAAGCAATTGAATCAAATGTTAATCGAGGTACAACTCGTTCACCTAATTTAATAACACCACCTTCACCTCAACTAATAAACCAAAATATATCTGATATTTATCATCAATCTCATCGTATTCAGCAACAGCAACAATTTTATTCATCACATCATATTACTGGTGATTTACATTCACAACATGAACAGAATACCTCCTTTGAAACTGGTGATGATGATGATGATGACGATGATAATAATAACAACACCAATAATGATGAACAGTATCAACAGCAAAGTCACAGAGGTTTAAATCATCAAGAATCAATTGAAATGTCACCACAACGAGGTTATAATTTATTGAATCAAGAGATTTACAGTGAAGATGAAAAAATTGGCTTCAACAGTAGCTTTGAAAGTTATCCGAGTTACAAAAATTGGGATGAACCAGGAATCCTCCTTTCAATACCCGATTTAACTGCTTCCTCGACACCTCGAAAAATAATGTTTGGAGGAGGAGGTGAAAGACCAATTGATGGTCGTAGTGAGACATTTGAAAGTCGAGGAGGTTTTGTTGGCAGTGGTGGTGGTGGTGGTGGAAGTGTAATACCATTCATGATGGGATCAAACAGAAACAATAACATCAATTTCAACAATAAGCATAATCACAATGAGAGTAATAATATAAATTATTCAACTGCAATGAGAAGATCAATCTCATCAATACATTCATCTAATTTACCACTTCCTCCTCCTCCACATCACCATCAACAACAACAACTACAACAGCAACATGAATCAACTCGACAGCCACCCTTTACCCTGAATATAATTCCAACACCTTATCACATTTTCCAGTCTCTTCCTCAGTCAGGTGATCATCAGAATAGGATAAACTATGATAAGAAAAATATTTCTAATGATATAAGAAGAGGTAAAACTAAGAATCAACAACAAGCCCACTCTCAACAGAATCAATATCTCCACCATCATACACAACAAAATCAACAACAGCAACAACAACGTCAACAGCGACAACAAAATCGACGAAAGTTTAAATTCAATTCTCTTCATGCATCACCAGTTACCAAACGTTCATTTTCACCTCATCCACTTTATCGTCATCCATCATTCCATTCAATTGAAACTGATATATGAACACTGAGAGAGTATAAAGTAAAGACAAATAAGATGAATAAACTTTTGGATGGAGAGAGAGAAATAGATAAAAGTTCTGAGAAAATGAAGAAGAAAAATATATCTAAATAACATTGGATAGAAAGTACATGTTCTTTCAATTTCTTTTTCGATTTTTTTTTCTTCATCTTCATGTCCTAGATTTTCATCTTCTCCTTTTCCTCATAATAATTGTAATCTCAAGCTCAATCATCTTCTTCATCTTCATCTTCATCTTCTCCCTTCTATCCAATATTGGAAAAAAAGGAGAAAGCAAAACATTGAGAAAAGTTTTCTCATTTTCCGTTTCCTCTTCTTCTTAATTTATAACATGTAACAATTAATCAGATGATTTATATATAATTGTGTTGATAAGAAAACAAAAATATTCGAAACACTTTGATATAAGAAAATTGACAAAAATTGTAAAACAATTAAATTAAATTTTCCTCTCAACATGTAATCATTTTCTGTTTGTCTTTATCATTCATAAATCTCACATTGAGTATTCATCGTTTCTATTATGTTGGGGTGGATTAAGATTACTATAGTTTAGATTAACGATGAATTATTAATTCTGATTAACGGTTAAAGAGAGGGTAAGATTTATGGTTAGGTTTCATCTTCCATCATGCAAATTGTTCATTCTCATGATTACTGATTATCTTTCGTATGCTTGGATATTCATTTGATCATAGAGTTTGATTATTGTAACTCGATTATCTATAAATCGGATTAGTTTTTTTTTTCGGTGAAATTTTTTTCGTAAAGTTTTTGTCCATCAAAAGGTTTCAATCTCATAAATCATTGCAGAATTATCATAATTAAACTGATGGAAAACAATTTATATTGATTGATAGCTTGTAATCGTCATTCTCAGCGATTAATCAAAACATTAGAAGATGAAGATTCCATGCCAATTTATATTCTTCTATTCAATTTTCATGATGTTTTCTCCTTTTTTTTGCTCTACTAGGAACTTACTGAGTTCATAGATTAAAAGATAATCAAATGATAGAAAAAAAGAATTCAATTGTCTTTAGATTATCATTGATCCATTAAAGGAAATACTTATTCTATATCCTTGAAAGTTCAGGAACAGAATCAGAAAAAAATCATAAAACAATGGAGATCTAATTTTCTGAGCTGGTGGCTCTGAGTCCTTGAACTTTATCTGTATTCAGATTATTTTGCATCATGACAGCTCAATTGAATGACCAGAAAAGTTTTAATTAATTGTATTTGTAATAATACCTGATTAACAGGTAAGTACAACTTTTGATTGCTCAATCTTAACTTGTCAACACTTAATAACATATAAACAGTTTTATCTTGTTAAATTATCAAGATACAATGTAAACAATTAACCAGTTTTTTAATTAACTAATACATAGAAATTTTAATTCATATGATTAATTGATTAGCAACTTTTTGTTACCTGAAATTCAAATTGTAACTTTTGGTGTTGCGATGTTTTGGTTAAATTCAAACAAGAAAACATTAGTTATTTGTAACAATCTATTAATTGAATTTTTTTTAATGAGACTTTGAATCTTTTCAGTTAATCATTTTGATTCAAACAATTAATTTACTTATTTATTTATTATTTAATTAGTTGTTGTTATTACTTGACTTGATAGCAAAGTTAACTACTAAAGTTTTCTCGATATGTTTAATATGATCTTGATACAAATGACTTTCGGACAGTTATCTTAATGATCAGTGATGATCTATGAAAATATTAGATCTAAATGGTCATCAAGTGTGGTCATTTACTTACTCGATGGTCATTTGATTTAATTGATTTGCTATGAGAAAAGAAATCTTTCAATTCCTTTCAAATCTTCCATCGTTTTTATCTCAGCCTCTGTCATTGGGTTGTGATTTATGCACCATGGTAAATGTCCTACCGTGATCTTGGTCTCGATAAGAGAAAAAAATTCGAGGTTCTCTTTTTTTTACTTACTTTTCCAATCAGTAAATAATATTGAGTTACCTTGATTGAAGTCTACCTCGATTGAACGATATTAGCATTTGAACATTCAAAGAAGAGAAAGAAAGAGAAATTCTACCAAAATAATCATACCCTCGAGACATTTTCTCTCTCTCTCTCTCTCTCTCTCTCTCTCTCTCTCTAATAGTTTCGTGGTCCATTTGTTTATCGCGACACGTTCAATGCTCATAATAAATTATCAGAGAAGTGAAAGTGATTAATAATACAAAAAGAATTTCAATATTTATTTATTAATAGTTAACGGAAGAATCAAAATCTATAAGTTAAACTTTTTTTCTCCAAACAATTAAAATCAAATTAAGCGGATACAGTTAATCAGCTAATTTGTATTGAATATTAAAAGCATATTAATCATAATCTAGAGTCATTTTCAATGTGACTATCTATGGGTCAGTAATGGTAAAATTATGAAAATATCTGATATACACATTTTCACATTGAATGAAAACTTCCGGTAAAACAATTAGCTGATTGGTGAAAGTGAGGGTGAAACAAAGTTAAATAATTAGAATGACGGTTAAGTGATTAATTAATTGCGATGTGCTTTATGTTTACATTGGGCTGAAAATTGTCATCACTTGTACATGAAAAGATTATGAATGAGAAAACATGAGGAAAATAAGGAAGTTCAATAAAAACAAATGTCAGAAAATTATTTTATCATAATAATATTTTTGGGTTCACATTAAATGTACATATAAATCTGAAAGAACCAGATTCTTGCTTAACAATTAAGATTGATTCTGTTTAATGGATCATGAACACGATGTTTGGTCTTAATTGTTGTTACATTATTCTGATAATATAATAATATTATTTTCTCTCATCATCTTCATTGTGATGGTAAAAGTCTTAAGGATAAAACCACAAGCAAAGACCAAAAGAAGACAAATGCAAACAAAGTATAAATCATCATTTAGAGAGAGAGAGAGAGAAGATGGAGGCCTAACTGTAACTCAACTTAAATGATTGTAATCAAATAAAATTGGGTTAAATTGTTGCAAATTATATCTACAAACATTAGAATTGCAAAAATGTTTTCTCATAATGCAAATATGAAAAGATCAACATTAACCTTGATAAGTTTTTGCAAGAAAAAACAAAACTTTCAACAATCAACGATAAACAATCAATGATAGGGAGAAAGTTGTAATTTCATCGTAACAAATATTGGGCAATTGGTTAATAAATGTTATGTTTTTCTCAATGAAATTGCAAATTCTTTCTAAAAATATCCATAATTGTCATTCATTATGATCTAAACTCGATTGCGAAACTGAAACGAATTGAAAATTACAGAGAGATTATCAATAATTTGGATGGAAAATAAATTTACTGGTGCTGATTAAAATATCAATAGTATTACATCAATGTTGATATTAAGATTTTCATTTTTTGATAATGAAAATTGATGGGGAAAAAAGGTAAACAAAGACAATAAATGATTCGATTGCAACAATCAAATCAAATGACTTATTTTCCATTTCAATATCAAGGTTATCATCATCTTCGTCGTTGTTTTCAACATTATCATCTTTATTGTAACTATTTCAATCACCATTCATACTTCAAGGGCTCTTGAAAAGTTTCCTCTCTCATCTCATTAATATTTGACCTTAAAAATTAGGGAAAATCGTTTTTCCCCCTTCAAGTTGAGATACTGAACTGGATCGACTCTTTTGGTGTAAATTGACATCTTGGTGACAATTTGACGAAAAATCGTTGAAAATCGTAAGAATCGCATGAATTATATCATCGATACAAGGAAGAGAGAGAAACTAATTAAAAGTAGTAGCATGTTATTCAATACGATAAAAGGATTAGTATTGAGATCATCATGATCTTTTCTGTTCCTAATCAGTATTTTATCTTTATGTTGATATTACCACATGAATGTTATTGAAACAATTTATGTGATTATCATTTGGAATCAATACAAATCATCTTAGGTTTTTATTCATAATTCAGATCACCTCTCGGACCATCTTATTCACTATTAATAAATCTTACATGGAAAACGATTGAACTTTTTTCTTACAATGGCTATGAATTTATTGTATCATGGAAAAAGTTACTAAATTTGCTCATATATTATAATAGATTTGATTTATGGTTTACAATAAAAATCTCTGAGTAAACATGGTGATCATGTAAATCAAGGATAAACATGAAAATTTCACAATGAAATGTCAAGAAGTAAGAAATCAATATTTAACCATCAAAGTGATTATGATTTAAGGACAATGACAGATTAACATGATAATCTATTAATACTGATGGGTGATCAAAGGAAAGTGATGATGTAAAGTGGAAGAGAATGAGAGAGAAAGTCAAAGTGAGTGAGTGAGCTAGTGAGCATTTGGGTGAATTAGTGAGTAAATTAGAGAGAGAGAGAGAGAGAGAGAGAGAGAGAGAGAGAGAGAGAGAGAGAGTGAGAGCTCCTAGGATTGATCATTGATGCCAAGGTTAAAAACATGAACCTCCCCAAAGTATAAAGTCAACAAACAACTTAACTATTCAAAGAATCAATTTAATCAGTATCACTAATCACTAATCACTAGCCCAGTGATTGGTTTAATACAACAAACAATTAGAAAGTGTTGCAATTGGGAAAGGTTAAATAATCAAAACAAAAAAAAGGTAAACAATTTCACTTTTTTGATTGCCGTTGTTTTTGATAATCATCATCATCATTTATCAATTAGTGGGAAAATTAATCAACTTGATAATCTATTTTTAGTAATGTTATTTAAAAACTGATAATGACAGAGAAATGTGCTGATTATTAGTCACGATTTTGTAAAAGGATGGAGAGTAAAATAATCGCATCAAATCAAATGACGTAGGAAATTAATTGAAGAAAAAAAAATGACAGCAAATTATTAGTTACATAAGTTGTAACTTGAATTAATCCAGATTTTAATTCATATGTCATAAAATTGTCCAAATATCCTTGATGCTAATAGTTACCAGGGGAAGATTAGACTCAGTAAGTTTGGAACTTTTATTGGAAAAATAAATATGAATAACTAGATCGAAAACATGATATCGAAAGTTTTTTTCGCAATTCGAAAATTTTAATCTTTCTTTCATTGGATCAGAGTCTTGGAGATAAATCAGCTTTCTAAATTCATTAAATATCTGATAATCTACAATCGATTTGATCTGAACATTGGTACAATCGATAATTTTTTGTGTGAAATGTTAAGCAGATAATAAATATTATATGTATCATGTGTTTGAAGAAAAACGGGAAATGTAATTAAGTTTAACACGTAACTTGATTTGATTGTTGTTTCTGCTATTAGTTAACCAAGTTATACAATTGATGAAATGTCCTTGGTGAGCCAGTCAAGCAATCAAGTATTTTTCTATGGTTATTTTTTGTTTCTTTTTTTACTTGTGATAAATTAAATTAAGGAAAAGTAAAATATATTCATGTAATAATAAGTGAAAAGAGTATCAACCATTATCATCATGGTTCAGTATCATCAATATGATGCTTTATATGTATATCAATTGTATCATCCATCCTCTTGATAATTGTCTCTAATATGAAAGATAATCAAGAGTAAGGGAAAGACTTGATACTTCCAACGAGACGAAGAAAAAAAGTTCTGAGTATCAACTAATCATCGTCATGGAATCAACTTTCAATGAAATCATCTCTTGATTCTCACACATATACTCTCTCTCTCTCTCCTTCATTATTATCTTAATTGCGATAAATGGTTGGATTGTCAATGAAAAAATTACCATGATGGTTTTAAAGAAGGTGAACAATTATCGTGATGTAATGAAAAAAGAAAAGAATGAAAAAAAAAGTTTTCTTTCTTAAATGAATTATCATGAAGTTTACTTTCAATTGGAGTGAGTACAATTATATTACAAATGAAATTAAAGACATTCAATTGTAATAGAAGTTTTTTTCTAATTATTCACTTGATTATGTGTTAATTGTTCATTAAAACTTATCAAATTTCAATTGGTTTTGATATTTAAATATTAAAAAAGTCACAATGACTGGATAAGGAAAAAAACAAATAAACAACTCGTATGAAAAAAGATACAAAATGTAACGTTTTCATTTCATCAATGTAATCAAAACAAAAACAATTCTCATGTTACCTGTCAACTATTAATACTTTGAATCTGAACCAAATTCAGTGGCTCCCATGGAAAGATTCAAATGGATATCCTTTCCTCTCTCCCTCTCGTAGCATTTGCCACTTTCAGATCTCTCTCACTTTTTTACTAGTATTATAATTGAATACAAGGGAGTCTACGTAAGTGCAACAAGAGGCTGTCAAAAACTTCCCCTTCTTATCATCATTATTCTGTTCATCATCATCATCATCATCTCTCTCTCTCTCTCTCTCTCTCTCTCTCTCTCTCTCTCTCTCTCTCTCTCTTACTTTCCTTCCTTCTCTCACTCACTTTTCTCATCATCATAATCTTAACTTGTTGATTTCTGTCAACTGCATAAATGAAACTTTTACTTTATTCAATTTCAATGGTGATATAAGTTAACTTATTCCACGTTACCTGAGACATTATCGCCTCCCGAAAATCAAACTACTTAACATTTAGTCATTTTTTCATCATTACAATCAACTTTATCTTTATCATCATAATTATCTTTCATCAATTTATCACCAAACTTACACGTTCTGATTTCAAATGGATCTTAATAAATCAATATCAACAGTTATCATCTTAATTGGTTTAACAATCATCGCCTTTGGTGTTTATATGCCTCTTTTAATAGACAATTTCATTGAGACAATAATTCAACAGGTAAGTTAATCAACTAATTATGAATGAAAAGTGTGAATATTTTCTCATAAAATCTCTCAACTTTGTTTTCGTCATGAAAAAGTTTTTTCTTTTCTTAGAGTTGAATAGTTTCCGGTTCCTTGAGTTTCTTTTTCTCTAATTATCTCTCTCCATTTTATTATCTAATATTTTGAAAGTAATTTCCCCTGTGAAAGATGATAAACTCATGATGAAATAAATGAAGAAAAATTCATGATAACTTACAGATTTAACAATTACCTAGACGATTAATTTTATCGTTGTTACTGTTAACCAAATGATGAAAGGAGAGAGAAAAAAACGTAATAAGAAATATCATTCATGTTTACATTGAATTTCAATCACAGTGATTAACTATCAATTACTATTATCATTAGCAGAATCATTATTATCGTTACCAATAATCATTATCATCGACAATAAATGTTAGTTTTTTACTTTGTCACAATCAAACATTTGGGTCTCTCAGTTAACCTTGTACGATATTTTTATATGTCTACATTCAATCATCGATAATTGACCATTTCTCTCCGTCCAAACTGACCACTAGACGTAATAGATTTGATAGTAATCGATAGGATAACAATTCGATGACATGATTTTTTTTTCTTCTCCTTTTCTTCATTTTCCTGATAATCAACTTTTCTCTCTCACTTTCACTATTATAATTATCCAACATTTAAACAATAATCATAATAATTTTATCATTATGATTATATGTTCTTCATGGAGATCAAAAATACCATGTAGAAGTTCTCATTCTTTGACCTATCGGAAAACTGACCATGAAAGGGAAAAGAAAATTGATTTTAATCGTTAACTTATTCCGAGTATCTTGTTATTTATTATGAGTAAAAAAAGAGAAAAAAACTTTTTCATTCTCTCTCCCCTTGTATCGATTTCCAAGTTAACGGTAAATCGAAAGTTATTCAGAACTTCTCTCTCTCTCTCTCTCTCTCTCTCTCTCTCTCTCTCTCTTCAACATCAATCTCTAGGAAACTCGTTTAACCATTTTACCTTGAAAAAAAAATTTTCTCATCTTCTATTTACCTTAATCTTAACAATAATCGTATTCATCTGATGAAGATGTTAACAATAGTAAAAAGTAATGGTAACCAACATAATGATTACATGAACTTTAACTGAATTTAACTGAACTCAACTGAATATAAATACATATACTATTAATAAATAAAAACCTGAATCTAGTTAAAACTGGCTTATTGCTGATTCTTTAATATGTAATAATAATAATAACATGATATAATGGTCCATACAATTTATTAGGATAAAATTGTCCTCAGGGTTTAGTAACATAGTAGATATAAAGGAGGAAATGATAGAATCAGAGAGAGAGAGAGAGAGAGAGAGAGAGAGAGAGAGAGAGAGAGAGAGAGAGAGAGAAAGAACAGAGTAAATTTATCAAAGCATAATGAGTGTTACATTTTCACTGAAAAGATACATGGTGAAGGGTATAAAAACACGGAATCCATCAGAACTCCAATTGTATCACTTCGATGATCTTTTCCCTGATTATTGAATAATTTTATTCAATTCCTTCATTTATTTTTTCCCATTTTCTAAAACTTAGTTTTCTTTAATTTTCATTTTATTCATATTAATCTCTTTGCTTAATTAAGCTAATCAATCTCTTTATGCTTAATCTCTGTATCACTAAAGTGATCTAATTGTTTAACAGTTTAACCAAAATTCCGTTAATTACCATTCAATGGTCTCTTCTTAAAGTACCAAAACTTTGGCCAAATTAGAAAGACTTTGATTTTCTTTCTTTTCTTCTTTCTCTTCCCTTTCTTATCCTTTTAGCTTTAACAAGCCTTTTACCTTTCAGAGGTTAAAACTTGTCTTATCATCATCATCATTACAAAGAAGATGATTTTTGGCGCGACAGTATTGTTCACTTGCTAATCTTATCCTTGTCTATGATGATCACTAAAGTGATAAAAACGTTAAATTTTTCCCTTTAACTATTACTAATTATGATTATTAATCATCTTCCCCAATTTTGTTTTCTTTATTACTTTGTAATCTCTTCAACTAATCCTCAGTTTAATGCCTTCACTTTAACTGTTAAGTTCAAGTATCTCCATGTTAAACTCAATTTACCTTCTGTTTCTATTAAGTTCTCAATAAAGTTCAGTTCATTTTAACCATCACTTAGTGATTTTGTTCAATAAATTGATATTCTAATTGAGAATAATCCTGAAATTACTTGGAACAAATCTGAATTTGTGACAGATTTATCTCCTGATTCCCCATCCGTTGGTTATAGTTAATCTCTCAGAGATATTGTGTCTCTATCTTATTCTGTTGCTCAGAATTTCTCCCTCAACTTAATCAACAAATACTCACAAATTGGCGAGGTTACCAGGATTATTCTCTTCTCCCCTTTTTCAATTTCTATTGTGTTTCCCACTAGTGTTTTTGTGCTGTTCTTATAATGGCTAATAATAGTAAAGCTAAACTTTCTAGAAAGGCTGCCTTAGAAAAGGCTCGAGCTGCTAAAGCTTCAACTCGTCGTACTCGTGACCCTACACCAGTAGACCCAAGTGATGCCCCATTAGCATCTACTAGTAATGTTTCCGATGAAACAATGTTACAAACACCTCAAGCTCAACAAGCTTATCCTCCATCCACTCCAACTACTACAATTAGATCAACCCGACCCAAAACGGTCAATTTAATTGAAAAATCTCTTAGAGATCTTACCCCTGAAGAAATAACTTCTTTATTCCAACAATGGAACATCCAATTCACTCTTCGTTCTCTTGCTGCTAAAAAATTAACCGAAGTTGTAACAACTCATCTTCTTCTCTATGGTGAAGTTCTTGATTCTGATGAAATTCTAAATCTCCCTGTTGCTGAAATTAAAGAACAAAATGTTCCAGATTGGCTTCTAGATTTTCGTTTGGAAAATATTTCTGAATTGGAAATTCAAACATTCATCAAATCAATCGGTCGTGATGATGATACTATTTTTCACATCACTCATGGTGAACTTTATGCTCTTCCCTTAGCTCTTGGAACTCTTAACAAGATGAAAATTGTTCTCAACCATCATGGTGCACAAATAATCGATCCTACAGTTTCTGTTGCTTCATCTACGATTTTATCCCCTGATTCACCTCTTACCGCTGCTTCTTTTCTTGAGATTGCTAAACAATTGAAAGTCGATCCTTATGTGCCTGAATTCGTAAAAGGTGAAGATACTTATGGTTGGCTTATTAAAACTCGAGATCGCTTAGCGAAAGAAAACGTTGATGATTCAACTCGATTACGATTGCTACAAAAAGCCATGGCCCATGAGATTAAATCTTTTGCTGTTGAATTGGAATCAATTACTGATTACGGTGAATATCTCAACTCCCTCTTTGAAAAACTTAAGACCCCTGAATCTCAGTATTCTGCCGATTTCGAACTACAACAATGTCGATATCATCCTGAAAATCATCCCGAAAAATTTTTCTCTGAAATGAAAAGACTAATCAGTAAAGCATTTGGATCAGTTACTGATCGCATGTATGTTTCTCTAATCCTCCAACACATCCCTAAGTATATTCGAGATGACATTTATACCTTAGGTATCAATGACGATAAAACTCGAATCTTCAATTTTCTCACTCGATTACACTTCGATTATAAAAACTCTAAAGAGAAACAAAGATAAACCCAAAACTTTTCTAGATCTTCTGATCGTCCTGATAAATCATCACTCACCTCAAAACTTTTCAAAAGTAACAATCACAACGATAAAATTATTCCTTCTGATAAAAACAGAACCTCTAATCCTAATCAATCCAGATCATCTAATCAAACAAAGGTGATAAATTCTGCAATTACTGCAAAGAAACTGATCATACAGTGAACGAATGTGTTCGTTTGGCCAATAAAAGGCTAGAGATGCTGCGGTGGAAAAGTTCAACAAAACCCACTTCATCTCAATCAACATTCTCCAATTTACCTGCTAATTTAACCACAATGGTTCCACCTCCTCAAGTAAGTCCTCAACAAAATCAACCAACAACTATTTTGGAACCGATTCAATCCGCTATCCGAGATACTCCCATTAACTTTGCAACGGTTAAAAATTTGGACCAAATAACTAAACTTGGTAATGTTCAACTCGCTCATATGCCGCAAGTTAATATTAAACTTTGCTTACCCACGAAAGAAATTATCCAAGAAGGAAAAGTTCTTATCGATACTGGTGCTACAACTTGTGCCATTGACCTTCATTGGCAAAGGAACTTCAAGTTCATGTAATTCCCTCTCTCGATATCTTAAGGTATTTGCTCTGACTCTTATGTCGATTCTCTTGGCTTTGCTTATGCTCTTGTTAAGCATAACGATATGGATCCAATCCATGTTATCAAAATGCAAATTTGTAACAATTTTGAACCTAATCTACTCCTCGGAAATGCCTTCATTCATGTCTTTTACATGAAAATCCAATCAGATGGAACTGAATTCAAGATCTCTTGCAAAGAGACTCCTAATTCCGTTGAATTTAATAACCCAGAATTCTACTTCAGATTCTGTACTCAGGCTGAAACTGAACATCTCATTGAATCAACTATTAAAGTTACCGGTGATCCCATTTCTGATTATATTCTTGATGAATCTAATAATTCCAACTCCCGCAATCAAAATAATAACACCACTACCGATCTAAACTCCCAATCTAATCCAACTAAAGAGCTATCCCAAAATTTAATCATCGCTAAATATGATGTCATTACTCTTGAAGAGTTATCCGAATCCAAAATCACTCCCTTTCTTGAGAAGATTAAATCAAGAATAAACCCCGAACTCACTACCGACCAACAACAAAAGCTTTTAGAACTAATCGATCGTTATAACGATATTTTTGCTAAGCATCCTCATGATTTAGGTTTTGTCCCTTCATCGGTTTGTCCCGTTAAGATTGACTTAGAAAATCAATCAGTACCATTTCAAAAACCTTA